CTGCTCCTGCTGCTCCAAGGCTGGGAAAGGGGGTGAGGACGGTGCAAGAGGACTGAGGGGCAAAGGACAGCAGGGGTCAGTGCAGGGCGCAGGCTGTATGGACAGCTGTGTGCAGGCAGGGCCTCTGGGGAACAGGGACTTAAGCTCCAGTCCTGGGGCTACTGGAGGAAGGGGAGCTGGGGTCGTGCAGGCCAGTGGTTAGGAGCGGCTCTTAGGCAGAGGGGCTTGGAGAGTCAGGGACCAAGAGATTCCCCGCCGCACAGGTCTCTGAGGGTACGAGGCTGGCTGAACCCTGGGTCTGCCTGCCTCTCCACCCCCATGTGCTTGGCAGGTCTTCACCCGGCCTCGTGGGCCGAGTTACATTTGCAGGCGTGTGGGGTCAGGGGGTCTATGCATGTGGGTTCACGGCTCTGCTCATGTTCTGAGCCCCTGACTGTTGCTCTGTGCTTGTGTGTTTGTGACTGTCTGTAGGGACATCTATCAATGTGACCTGCGTTCGTGCCCTCTGTGGGAGTATGCATCTGGGACGGAACCTGTGTCTAGAACACGGAGTGGTCTGTGAGGTTGGGGTCTTTAGTCCAAGTGTGTGTGTCTGTGAGTGTGTGTGAGTGTGTGTTTCTCCCTGTTTGGGGGCCAGGGTCGGGGCAGTGGGAGGGGAAGGGGGCAGAGAGCCGGGAGTCCTGGGAAGCTGACTCTGTGGGCAGAAGGGGAGAAGGGGAGGCGGGGGCAGGGGGAGCACAATATCCCCGCCGGGGCCCCTGACCTCAGCACGGCGCCCGCCCCAGCCCCTCTCCGTTGCCGGGACCATCAATCACAGTGGCCCGTCGGGCCTGGGCCTCGCTGACAGCCGCACAGCAGGTGGCCCGGCCCTGCTCCCCACCCCCCCTTTGCTGCCCCAAGGCCCCCAACATAAAGTCCTGCCTCCTCTCCCTTCCCCCAGGCCAGAGGCGGTGGGCCCCGGGAGGCCACCATGTCCAGGCCTCTCCCACTGTCCCCACAGGCCACTCGGCAGGCTCGGAGCGGGGGGACATGGTGGCCGTGTGGGAGCACCGCCGCTGCCCTGCCGGGTGGAGGGGGAGCCACCCGTGCCCATGTTGGGGCAGCGGGACCCGCCGGTCCCGGCCAGTGACGGCAGTGCCTCCCTGATGCTGGCACGGCTCCCTGCATCTGGTCGACCTGCCCTCACGTGGGGGCCCTCCCGGCGCCCGCCCCCCCCCCCCCGAGTCCACCAGCACCACCGCGGGGCCGGGAACCGGGAACCGCTCTGGGTGCCGGTGAGCCGGCAGGCCCCGTCCGGCTGGCAAGGAGGTGACTGGGCTCCTGCTGGGGGCAGGAGATGAGAGGGCACGGGGGCACCCACGGGGCTAATGTAGCTGTCACCCAGAGTGCACAGTGCCTTTCAGGGGCCACAGAGATGTTCTCTTTTAATTTCCTTAAAGCCAGAAGACACCAATGAATATAATACTGAATATATGAAAATGGATTGTATTTGTCTTTATACCAATGCAATTATCAAATACAATTTACAATTTACGGGAGCGCCTGGGGGACTCAGTTAAGCATCTGACTCTTGATGAGGAAACGATCTCAGGATTTCATGAGTTTGAGCCCCGAGCCCGGAGTCAGGCTCTGCACTGACAGTGTGGAGCCTGCTTGGGACTCTCTCTCTCTCTCTGCCCCTCCCCTGCTTGTGCTCACTCTCTCTCAAAATAAATAAAACATTATATATATAGTATTTTTTAACGTTCATTTTTGGGAGACAGAAAGTGAGCAGGGGAGGGGCGGAGACCGAGGAAGAGCCAGAATGCAATGCAGGCTCCAGGCTCTGAGCTGTCAGCACAGAGCCTGACACGGGGCTTGAATCCACGAACCTTGAGATCATGACCGGAGCCAAAGTCAGACGCTCAACCGGCTCAGCCACCCAGACAGACGCCCTGTATGTATAGTTTGAGTAATTTTCTGCCCAATGTGGGGCTTGAACTCACGACCGAATGCGAGAGTCGCGAGAGGCACCTCCTGAGCCGCCCGGTGTCCCCTACAAAATCCAATCTTAAACGATTTTTATGCAGGACGGCAAAGCGCCGGCTCACGCACAGACAGGACACGGCCTCCGGAGAGTCGCCGGGCTGGGGGCTGAGGCGGCCCGGCGCCCCAGGTCTGTCCCGCTCCCACGAGCACCCAGAATCCCGGAGGCGGAGCGCGGGGGGGGGGGGTGTGCGCCTGATGCAGGGGGTCCCAGAGCCCTCCTGGGGGCACAGCTCCCGGGGCGACCCTGCCCTCGGCCACCCTCAGGGTCACACCGCTGCCGGCGGCGGCCTCCACGGGACCGGCGCGGCCACCCGCCCCCACCGCCGGGGTGCGCAGCTGACACCCGGCGGTCAGCGCGGGCGCCGAGGGGTGTGTGGGAGCTGGGGCAGGGGTGCTCGGGGCTTCGGCAGTGAGAGCGCGGCAGAGGGAGCCCGGGTCGGGGCGCGGCGGCCCCCGCAGCACAGGGGCGAGCACGCGGTGCGCGGAGGCGGGTCCCACCTGCCGGCCGCAGGCGACGTGATGGAGGAGGAGCCCGCGTGACAAGCGGTTGGGGCCCGATGCAGGGGACCGCGGGACCCCTGGCGGGTCTGGGGGGCAGAGTCCGCGTGGGCCTCAGCGGGACTCGGTCCGTGCGTGTGCGTGCGGGGTGCGCACGCCTCCTCGTCCTCGGGGAGCAGAAGGGCGCGGCTCGGTGCCTGTGCGGGGCCCGGGGGCCCGGGGGAGGGGGCGGGGGGGCCGCAGAGCCCGCGAGGAGCCGGAGGCCGGGGCGCGCGGGGTCCACTAGGGGGCCCCCGAGTGCAGCCAACAGGGGCCCGGGGCGGCGCGTGGCGCCTTTGTGTCCGCGTCCCGACCCTTCGCCGAGGGAGGCGCGGAGGAGAGGCCAGAGGAGCTGGGTCCCTGGTCCGGAGCCGGCTGGGAAGCGGCGAGCAAAGGGCGGGGGTCAGGAGCTCCCCCGGGGCCAGAAGGAGGCCCGGGTGGGGTTCCCGTTTCCTGCTGGCCAAGCGTCCGGGGCGGGAGGGCAGAGCCGTCGCCGCGCTTCCAGACTTGGGGGCGGAAGCCGAGCGCTTCCAGGAGGAGGAGGCACCTGCGGGGAAACGCGGGAAAGGAGCCGCGGCCGGTGTGGACTGCGCCGGGGGCAGGGGCTGGGGGGCCGGGGGGGGGCCGAGGCCCCGGCCATGCGCTCGCCCCTGGGGCAGGCCTTTCCCCTCGGAGAGGCACCAGGGACGCGGACTTCCGAACCCCCCGGGAGCTCGGGGTGGCGGGGGACTGAGCTGCCGGCGGCGTGCGCGTCCGGGCCCAGCCTCCTCCCCTTCCTGCTCGCTCCTCCGACCTGGACTAGCTGCCTTCCCTCTCCGATGCTCGGCCTCTCCTGTGTAAGCTCGAAGTCAAAGCGCTTGCAATTTGAGGGGCGCCCGGCCGAAGTCAGTCCCCCATATATGTTTGGGAGGTTGGTGGATGAAGGAACAGGCAGGCAGTCACCTGGCTGGCCCAGTTGATGGAGCGTGTGACTCAGCCCAGGGTTGGTTTAAGGCCCTCGGAGGGCGCGGACATTGCTTGGGGTCTGTAAGGGGCGCCCAGTAGTTGACGTCAGTCGAGGGTCCGACTCTTGATCTTGGCTCAGGTCAGGATGTCACAGCTCAGCTGTGGGATCGAGCCCACTTTGGGCTCTGAGCTGACACTGTGGAGGCTGCTTGGGATTCTCTCCCTCTCCCTCTTCCGCTCCCCAGCTCTCTGTCTCTCTCTCAGAATAAATAAACTTAACAAAAAAAAAAGTCTTTAAAAAATGTTTTTTTTTTTTTTTTTAAAGGAAGGACAGGGAGGGAGGGAAAAAGGAAGAAAAGGAAACTATTCTAGGGTCTTGAGACAAAATTTTGTATGAGAGGGTTTTTTTGTTTGTTTGTTTGTTTGTTTTTTAATTTGTGTTTATTTTTAAGAGAGAGAGAGAGAGAGAGAGAGAGAGAGCACACAAGTAGGGGAGGGGCGGAGAGAGAGGGAGACACAGAATCCGAAGCAGGCTCCAGGCTCTGAGCTGTCAGCACAGAGCCCCACGCGGGGCTTGAACTCACAAACCGTGAGATCATCCGACTCAGCCACCCAGGCTGCCCCAGAAGTTCTTAATAAAGAACATTTTTGAAAGGATTTAAGATCTGTTACAAAGTTGCATAAAATACAAAGTAGCCAGATAAGGGGCAACAAAGGTACGTTTTTCCCCAAGTTCACAGTTGTACCCCCGGAAGAGGTCGGTGCCTGGCACTGGCCAGCCCCCACTGATGATTTGTTGAGTCACCTAATAAGATGGGAGAAGGTGGTATAAATGCAGATTGGGTTTAAACCCACATGGTGAATTTCAAAACACATTTACTCCTTCCTGAGCAGCTGAGATGCCCTGAGTTCTCAGCGGGGCTGGCTTGTTTTCTGGGGGAGGATCTCCCGCCTGGTTTGCCCTGACTTAAGTGTTGGCCCCTGCCCCTTCCTTGCTTCCAGGGCGGGGTGGGGGTGGGGCTGGCACGCACCTGTTCTGACTGCGGCTTTAGTCTCCCCTCCCCACCAGTGTAACCTGGGGCCGCTTGGTGCCTTAGCCCTGGGGTTTACCGGCACAGCCCTTGGGGGAGCCATCTGCTGTATCCGTCCGTAAACCGGGAATGAACTAGCAGCTGCCCAGCGCGCCCCGAGGCCTGTTCACCTGTGCCCTGGGAGAGGAGGGGTGTGCGGCAGGAGGCGCACGGTTCGCCTCCCTGTTTCCATCCCACAGCGGGATCCCCGCGGAGGCTGCAGGGCCCCAGAGCCTGACGCTCACAGTGCACCAGACAGCGGCGCCGGAGCGCGGCGCCAGGGGCCACCTGTGGCCGCTGGTCTCCTGGAGCCACCTGGGGCCACGGCTGCCCAGCCCTGCCTGCTGGAGCCCCAGCCCCACCCCGTGGCTCCCTCCCAGCCCTGACCCCTGGCCTCCCCGCGGACGGCCGCTCATCCGTGTGGAGGGCATCCAAGTTCTGGTGTCCGTGCTTTCAGTGGGGCACCGGGTCTGGCACATGGCGCAAGGTGTCCTGCTGGTGCAGGGTGAGCCGGGTGGGGGCCCCCCGGGGGCTCCCTCTTCCCCCACGGGAGACCGTGTGGGGAGACGGAGGGGCAGGAGGGGACAGGACGTATGGGCCTCAGGACCCTTCCACGTCAGCCAGTTCCCCCGGAGTCTGTCCAGTGGCCACAGTCCTTGTCCCAGCCTCCAGGCGGCAGTGCCACCTTCACCAGCATGGCCCAATGTGTCCGTGAGCCCCAACTGGTCTGACTGAAGAACGAGAAGGTGCCGCGTCCTGGGGATAACGTTCAGCCGACCCACGGCAACAGGTACCCCCAGTTCCTGGGTCCCAACCTCTCCCTCCTGCCACCCCAGGCACTCGTGCCCACCTACACCGAACACACCGCCTGTATCTAAAGTCCACATGGCAACTGCCCCCCCCCCCCCCCCCCCCCCCGCACCCCCTTGGCTCTACTCCACCTGCTTCACTGTAGGTCACGCCCCCCCACAGGGGGTGGGTACACCGGGTCTGTGGTCTTGGAGACAGCCCCCTCCTTTAGAGCCACCTTGGAGCTTGGTAGGAAGGAGCCCCCAGCAGCTGTGTGTCTCCCGAGCACGTTGAGCCCGGTGCGGCTCTCAGGGGAGGACGAGGCCACCTACCAGTGTGTGGCAGAGAACAACGCCGGATGCAGGAGACCGGTGCCCGCCTGGCTGTGACAGGCGACCAGAGCAACCCCCTGCCCCAGGAGGCCTGTGGACCGTGGCCCTCTCTCCACCTCTGCCATTCAAATGTCCTGGGAACCACCTGCCTCCAGCGGGGACCGCACTGGCTACGTGCCGAGCCTCCTTGGGAGGGTGGGGTGTGGACCGACACCCCTGTACCTGATGGGTGGGGCCCCGGGCCCGTTCCCCCCTACTCCTCGTGCCCCCCAGCCCTGTCCGGACTCTTGCTGGGCCTCGGGGTCTGTGGCCCTCTGGTGTCTCCCCACGGCCTCCTGCCCTTTTCCCTTCCTGGCTCCAACTTCCGTAGCCCCCTCCCTGCTGTGTGGGGACCTGGCATGCACAGCCGAGCACCGGGTGCCCCCTTTGTGGGGTGAAGGGGGTCGAGATGGGTGCGAGGCTGCCAGACTGCTTTGCTCCTCAGAGGCAGCTGGCCCCAAGCTCCAAGAGGCCGAGGGTAGAGGGCTGCTTTGGGCACGCCTTCTCCCACCTGGCTCCGGCCACGGCCAAGGCCTACTCCATCTGCGGCAGGGGGTGCCGGCCGGGACTCTTGCCTCCATTGCCGCCTCCACCACGGGCGGCAGGGCAGTCAGCCTCACACCATCTCCTCTGCAACTCCAGCCACCCTGGGGTTGGCTTCTCCACCAAAGTGCTCCACACCCCTCCGTGCAGGCCTCCCGGGGCCAGTCCGTGGCGTCAGACTCTCACCGCAAGCTGCTGGCTGCTCGTTTTGAGGGGCCTCTGCTCCTGCCTGGAAGCGTCCGCTCCTTCCTCTACACGGATCTGGGTGAGGCCCTGACCCTCCTTATGGCTCCCCTGCCCTCTTCTCAGGGTCTCTCCCCAGGCACTGAGCCTTCAGTGCTCCCCGCAGAGCCGGCCGCCCTGTACCAGATCAAGCTGCAGGCGTTCAAGGACCTTGGGGATGGTTAACAGCAGCTCCCGCTTTGTCTCCCTGCGTGAGGTGCCCCTGGCCACCCCTGGTGAGTGGGGTCCTGAGGCAGGGAGGCAGGTGGGCAAAGGAGCCCCTCCCTGCCCCTTGGTCCTAACAGGAGTCCTGAACAGCTGAACTGATGCGAGCTGCTTCTCTGAGCCGCCGTATGGCCATCTCCCCCCTTTTCAGACCCAAAGCACTGGCCCCTCTTCAGGGGCATCCCTCCCCATCTGACTGCTCTTTTTGAAAGGAGACAGAGCTGGGGTTTGGTGGCTGTGAATCCTTTACAGAGGCATGGGGCACCCCGTCCCTGCCCTCGATTCCTCCTCCCTCTGCCAGCCCGTGACACCCAGGGCTCCACTGTCCCTCCAAGGGCTGTCCTGTATTGTACCAAAGGAGGGAAGACTTTGGAGGAAAAAAAAACCCAGGGTTTATCTATCTATCTTATTTATTTATTTATTGAGAGACAGAGTGTGAGCGGTGGAGGGGCAGAGAGTGAGGGAGACAAGAGGCTCTGCACTGACAGCAGAGAGCCCAACGTGGGGCTTGAACTCACGAAGTGAGATCATGACCTGAGCCTAAGTCAGATGGTCAACCAACCGAGCCACCCAGGCACCCCGAAAAACCCCAGGTTTGGAGGGGGACCCCCAACAGGGTCTTCTCTGCGCTCCTGGAATGACGCTGGTGCCAATGCCAAGACCCCAGTGAGGCCGGGCCCTGCCCCTACACCATGAAATGTGGCCGGGACCGAAGGGTTAAAAACAGCCCCAAACTTCCGGTCCTTGAGGAAACAACATCCTGTCCCCTGGGTGGACCCGATCTAAGTGCGTTGTTGGAAATAATGAAAATGGACAAAATAAATTAGGACCCGGTTCATGTTCTGGGTCGTAAGGAACACTTGGGGGAGCAGGGTGAGGTGGCAGGAGGGTTCCGGTGTCTCCGGGTGCTGCGCGCAGACTGAGGGCCAGCAGGGCAGAGCGAGCTGTGGCTCCAAGGCTGCCGTCTCTAGAAGCCTCGTGTCACAGTAGAGACCAGAGTGGTTATGATGGGAGGGGAGGCCAGGACAGCTGGGGGCCCAGCCTCTGCTCAGTGCTGCCTCCTTCCCTACGCTCTTGACCCGAAATGGGAGGTCAGGGGCCTCCAGAGCTCGGGCTCCACGTAAGGGTGGAGGAACAAGAACACACAGTGGGCACAGGCTCTCGAGAACCATCGTGGTGGACAGAAGGGGCATGACCCGAAGCTGCCCCGTAGCCACAGGGAGCACAGGCGACAGCTCGTCTTCCGATCGCCCCTAAATGGACCAAAGCACGAGGCACAGGAAAGTTTAGAAACCATTCCTTTCTTTATTAAACATAGCTTGCAAGTGATAAATATTACAAAGTTTTTTTTTCTTTTAATCCTTTCTCCAAAAATTAGCTTATTATTTGAATCTGTTGCTGCTGAAGTACTCAGCAGCATCTGAAACGGATGGGAGTGTATTTGCCTTTTTGAAAACCAGTTTCTGTTGGTCTTAGTTTTTTCATTTTAATTTCCAAACACAATGCAGAAAATCAGAATGAGGTTAAAAAAAAAAAAAAAAAAGGAAACTTAGAGCCTGTGCAAAAGGGTCCTGCCCCCCAACCCCCATTCAGAGAGGCCGGTCCCGCCCCAGCCCCGCCCCCCACCCCACCCCCACGCTGCCCGACCTTCAGGCCTCACTCACCGTCCCAGACCCTCTCCAGGCTTCCTGGGGTGGGGGTGGGGGGGTGGGGTGGGGGAAAGGGGGGCCTCGAATGTGGGAGCCCAGGACCAGGCTGTGGGGAGCCGCCTGCAAGGGCTCAGATGAGGTCTGAGGGAGGGAGACGAGAAGAAGTGGGTACATCTGAGCTCGGCCACGCCGCCGTCACCCTGCGGCTCACCAAGAATGCAGGTGGCCAGACCAGAAGCCTGGGCACCACTGCCCCCAGCACCCCGGAGGCCCGAGGGCAAAGCGGCCACAGCTCTGCTGACACCTCGACCTCACTCTGCTGCCCTTCCCGAAACCAAAGTAATGGCGGGGCCGGGCCGGGCCACGCACGCAGCCACCGCAGCACTTAGGTGCCCTCCCTGCATCTGCAGCCCCACCACACTCCCCACCTCCAGCTGTGGTCTTGCAGGTGAGGAAAGAAGCATGAAACGGAATCTTACACTTCGTGGCCAGGTGATCTCCCCTGTCGCTTCACAGACAAGAAAACAGAGACCCAGAAAATGAACCCTCCCGAAGGGCACACAGCAAGTTAGTGGGAAAGCCTGGGGCAGGACCCCGGGTCACTGCCACCCCACCCTGTGTGCTGTGGCTCTCCACTCTCGACAGCACGGACCGGGAACCCCAGCTTTCACAGTGGCCCAGCCTCACCCCCGTGACGAAGCCTGAAAACCACGTGTAGACGCACGTGATACATGAGGCTTTCTTGGGGTGACTTTGCTGAGACCCTATCACCCCTGGTCATCTACGCTCCAGGTGGGGTGGGGGAAATCCCTTGCATAAGAAAGCTTGACACTGAATTTTGTTATATAGGTATATTGTATATATGCTGATGCAGTCAGAGGAAAAAACAGTGCAAATACAATTACAATTCATAAGAATACTTGGTTTCAATGCCCCCGGGAGCTGCCCCGCTCCCCGGCTGCCCCCCAGCCCCCAGCACCTCCCCGCAGTATCCGCCGAATGCTGGGGGCGGGGGTGGGGGGGTGGGGGGGGTGGCGGGCGGCTTAGGGTCGGGGGTGGGCTCTGCCAAGGCAGTGCTGGTGACCCGGAGGGGCTACTCCAGGGCGGGGGGCAAGGCACAAATCTCGGGGTGGGTGGTGGGGGAGGTGGCGTCTCTTGGGAGGGATGGGGTGGGGGCAGCTGCCAGTCTCCGCGTGCTGGGCCCGGCCCACTCCCTGCCCCGGCCTCCACAGCCCTGCCTCCCTACCCCCGCCCCTTCCCCAGAAACCCTTTTGCACACGGATCATACACAAACGGGCACATTACAAAACGACGTAACACAGTTTCACAATATCCATGGCGAGGGCTTTTTTTTCTCTTTTTCAGTTTTTTTTTTTTTCTACACAATGTACAATTCCTTTTAAATGGATCAAGAAATAGCTTATATACACGAATGAGTCCTTGTTATAACATCTCGGCAGCAAGTATCATAAGCTAATGAAAGTCTTGTTGGAGGGCAGGGGAGCCTAGGGCTGGGTGGGTGGGGTGTGGAGAGAAGGGTTATGCCTTCTGCAGGGGTCTGGGGGAAGGAGTGGTTGGGGAAAGGAACGAAAGTAAAATACCAAGAAGCGTCTTTACAAAGCAGTTCTATAGCTAATTCCTTTTAAAGGGGGAAAGGAAAGGTAACCAAAGCAGGAAAACATTTATCTTTGTGTCTTAAAAAAAATTGTCTACCATACATACATCCAAAAATGTGGAAAAAATACTTATTCCAGGGATGGAGAAAGTCCAGATGCTGTGGTCAAATGACAAAAATAGCAAATAAAAATTAAAAAAAAAAAAAATCTACAAATGAGGAGGACCCCTGTCCCTCAGCCTTACCCCCCCCCCCCAACCCCCACCGCTCATCTACCCGTTTCAGGCGTCTAGGGAGGAAGCCACCGGCCACAGCGACTACTTTCAGAGCCTCTGGATGCGGGGGTGGGGTGGGGGGGGGGTGGGGGAGCCAGGCAGAGCCAGCGGGGGCCCTCGCTCTAGCCATCCCCCTGAGCTTCAGAGCACTGGGGTGGAGGACCGCTCTGAACAGGGGGTCGCCTTTCTTCCTATCTTTAGGCACGAGGGTTAGTGTGTATGGGCTCAGCCTGGGGATGGACAGCAACAAGAGACTGGGAGGGACACAAGGTGATCAGTGATGAAAAACTCAAGAAGTAAGGAAGACAGGACAGGGCGGGAGCAAGAGGAGGTGAAAGGCTGGTACTTCACCATGATTAAGGAAAACTCACCCCCATCGCTAATCCCAGGGAAGGGTATGGAAATGGGGAGAAGTGAGAAATCAAACACCAGCGATTGAGCAAAGGGCCACGGAGCTAAACTAGTCATTGAGCAGCCTCTATGTGACTGAGCCTGAGGGGAGAAACTGGGAAGGCTCCCGCTCTGCCCACCCCCAGCCCACCCCCAACATCCCCCCCCACCGCCTCAGCACCCCGCCAGGCACTAGCCAGGCACTAGGCTGGGCGTTCCCCATGGCTCCCAGCTTCCCCCCTTGTCTACACTTCCTACTTCCAAACCCCATCACAGGTGGCCTGGCTCCCAGGGAAGAGACTCAGCTCAGGGCAGGGATGGCCCCCAACCAGACGGTATTGCACATTCTCTGTTCCTTACTTTTAATCTCAACTGACAAACTTGGGCACCTGGTACCTCCGAGCTGGGGGAGGGGAGACATGACAGAAATGGCACTTTGTCATGGCGGGTGGGGCGGGAGAGGCTAGACAGACATGCCACAAGGCAAGGTGATTTGCAGGGAAAATTTAAAAAACAACAAAAAACAAAAAGAAAAAAAAATAATAAAAAAGCTTCCAATTTCGTGGAAGAGAGAAAAGCAAAACCAAACGATTTATCCAGTGCTTTCAAAGCACAGAGGGCAAAGATGTAAGAATATATCTTTGTATATATATACGTATATATATATATATAATTTTAAAATAACCCCAGACCCAGTTTCATAATCCCCCCTCTCCCCCACTTACAGTCAGGGGCACCACAGGCCCCAGAAAAATACTCTAAACAGCCCATCACTATCTGTTACTAGCATCTAGCTTCAGATCACTTCACCACTGGGGGAGCCCAGACACAGGCTGTATCTCTGCTCCTTTATTAAGTGCTCAATGAATTTGGGGGAAGGGAGGAAAGAAAAAACCCAGGAAGGCCCGTAGGGCCAGTAGAGTAACCCACAGGGGCTCTGGGGTATGGGGAGGGGGGGACTGAGCCTGATTCCAGCTCCTTCTCCCCACCAACCCACAAACTTTATGGGCAAGATGTGCAGTTTGTGTGTGTGTTAATTTTAAAAGTGCCTTCTTACTTTAAAAACATTATTTAATATTTTAAAATAAAAGTGGGGGAACTTTCCCAGGTGGCTTTCAAGGGCAAAATTCTAAACTCCTCTTCACACGTCTCTGCTCAGCGTATCCCTTTCCTGTACTCTGGCAGCTTCTAGAGCTGGAGAGGCAGGTGACTGTTACGGGAGAGCAGAAACCCCTGCCTTTTAGGGGCTTCCTTTACCTCAGAGACAGCCTGGCCCCCCTCTTGCTTCCCCCACGGTGTGGGCAGATGGGGTGCTAACCTCTCTTATCCCCAGAACAGCAACATTGCACAATTCAGTTCATTCCCTACATTAGTAGCGCTCAAGAAAAAGCTGAAAACAACAAAAAAGGAAAATTAATAGATTTCTGGAGATGGGTTGGGGAGGGGGACACCACAACTACTTTTGCAGCCGAGACCCAGAGCTGGCTTTGACCAGAGTTGTGTGGCTCTGAGCAGTGGGTTCTGCACTCAGGACAGCAGACCAGGGCAGGACTCCAAGCTGGTGAGGCCTCCCTGTTCCCTCCTCCCGGCTGGAGGGTGGGACAGACAGATGGGGTCTCACCTGCTGGGAGAGAAAGCCCTTCTCTCTTCCCTTCTCTGTCTCACTCAGTATGTCCCGCCCAGCTCCCAGGACACCAGCTAACTCAGGCTGGGAACAGCTACGCCTCCCGGATTATAGACGGGACTTGGGGACTGAGTTTACCAGGAGCAGATCAGGATTAAAAAGGTGGGGGGGGGGGGGGGGGATTTTACAAAGAAAGTAAGGTGAAATAATTTTGGGCTAGTTGACCTGGAATAGACCTCTATCTCCACTGGGACCAGGAGAGCATCCAGGAGGCCAACACCAGCCTCCGTCCTCCTTGGCTCAGCACTATACTTGTCCCCATGTCCCTCTCCCCTTTCTCTGTGGGTCAATTCCGTGGTGGTTACATTTTAAAGCTTCTCCCTCCAGGCTCATTCCCCTCATTCTTAGAGCCCACTTCAGTACAAAACACCACCTCCCAGACTGTCCAGCCCAGAGACGCCAAGGGCTGATGTCCTCCCTATCTGATGCCATCACCTTGCCCCACCCCCAGGTTAAGTGCATTAAAAACTTCTGCCCCCAACGTCGCCAGTCAGATCTGCTTGGGGACCCCCTGCAATGCTCCTGTCATTTATCTGAATGTCATCTGTGTTTACGAAAAAGAAAAAAAAAAAAGAAGAGAAAAAGAAAAATATTGAGAAAATAAAAAGGTTTAACCGTCCACTGAACAAAGGGGAGGACACACAACATCATTAAAAATGATAATAATTAGAGCATAAAAACTTTAGAAACACACGTCAGAGGGCTTAGATTTCTCTCTCCCCAGGACCTCACTCTGACCTCATCCGAGGTGAAGAGCACCTCACTGTGAAAGAAAACCGGAGAGAAGACAAGAGCGGCAGAATCGCAGCAGTGAGAGAGGGGTGGCGGGCAGGGCAGGCGCGTTTTCCTGTTGATTTCTAGGTTTGTCTTCTGTTTTCTGTTTTGTTTTCCGTGTATGGTAGGCACCAGTACAGGCACTGCATGCGACGGAAGTTGGGGGCAATGGGAGAGGAGGGGTAAAGGGTTCAAGGCTGGGGCAGTGCACGTGGACAGGCGTTATTTCTGCCCGCTGATGGACTGCGCTATAGACCGGGGAGGGATCATGTCTAAAAGGTACTCCCGCTGTCTGTCTGCCAAACTGGGAGCTTTGTGTCCTCCGATGCCGGTGTTCAAGTATGCAATGTTGACACCTGGACCCAGGAGACAAAAGCGGGAGTGGGGGGGGAGGGGTGGAGGGGCAGGCGTTAGAAGAGGAAGCAGCATCTTCTTGACCGCACGACCCGGTGACCGTCCCAGGTATGACCTGGGAGGACCCGGGGGCGTGGACTTGGGAGGTGGGGCGGGGGCACCAGAGGTTGTGTGCATCTGTCCAGACTTAGGTAAGTGTTATGTCAGCAGCCAACTGCCCCTCTGCACCCCATGTTTAGGGAAAGGGGTCCTCTCGAAACTTCAGTCCTACCAGGAACAGAACAAACACGGTCTTGACGGGATGGGAGAGTCAGAGAAACAGAGGAGAGTAATGAAGACACAGGGATGCACTCACGGAATACGCTTTGGATTTCTGTGAAGCAGCAGCCCTCCACCATTCAAACAGGGTGGGGACAGCTGACCCTGCTCTTGTCGTCGGGGTCAGTGACCACACACCCACCAACGGGGCCACCAGACAGTGAACAGACAAGGGCAGGGACTGTGCTGTTTTCACCACCAGAACCCTATTGCGCTGTGCTCTGCATGGACCATGAAGTTAGCAAACATGCTAAATAACCAGAGTGAAGGGAGAAAGGCCTAAAGAAAGCACAGAAGCGGAAGAGCGGCCTGCTAGCCTGAAGGCCCCTCCCATCACTGCTTCTTACCTGGCATCCCAAGGAGGCCACCAGGCACAGACAGCTGGGGCGCCTGCGCGAAGTTGGAGAGCATGGAACGGGCAGATGTGGGTATGCCGCGCTGGAGGCCGCTCTGGGGCTGTGGAGCCTGTGACGGGGAGCAGACAGTGGGTCACTAGGTGGCCGCGATGGAAGGGGTCGGGTGGGGGGGGGTAGGGGTCCGGGAAGAAGGACTTCCCAGCAAAGGCAGACACGCTGGGATCCACGGCTGGCAAACCACCCCAGACGGCCTCACCTGCCGAAGCGTATGATGTCTCATGATGGTCTCTTGTTTACTGACACTGGACACGGCCGGAGCCGCGGTGGGGGAAAGGGCTGCCTGCTGCTGTAGTCGCTGTTCGATTTCCTGTCGGGAGTCAGCAGGTCAACTTGGCAGGACAGCACCCAATTTCCTACCCAGGAAACCTCGGGTTCCTCCTATTTCTACTGCTGCCGACACGACAAGTAGGAGGGATATGGAGAAGGCGAGTTGGGGCTCTGGGCACAAAGAGCTAGCCCTGCTTTGCTGATTAAGGGGTCCGTCTGTCCAGGAAAAGCTGGCGCTCAGATGCCGGCAGGAGACGCCTGGGTGGTGGCAACCAGCTGACGGACGTGACGGTGAGCAGTTTACGGAGGTTTTATTTTTGACTCCTGTCTACCTGTTTTCCAGAAGGTCCCTGGACGCCACCCAAAGGGGTCTGATGGGTGGTGGGGTGGAAGCAGGATTGAGGGGAAGGATCCAAGCTTCCCAACACATCTTCCCCTCGCCCAGACCGCAGGGCACGCCCGCTCCCTCCTTGCCGTTCCTCTTCGCCGGGCCACATTACAGTCCACTCTCTCCTGGGTCGTTCCCTCGTCAAATATGGACTGCAGAGAATTCGGTCTCTCTGAGAGATTTCCGGTACAAATATAATCCCTCCCACCAAAATCCATTTGTTTGAGGAGGACAAGAAGTTGAGGGATTTCTTCGGCCGCCACCAGGGAAAGCCACGTGTCTGCCTCCTGTCTGTCCCCACCCTGGACCACACTGTCATTCATGCTCTTGCCCCACCAGAGACAGTCACGTGGAGATCAGCAGACAGATCGGTACGGGGAGGAACAGGGAACCCGGGCCTCCAGGCCGTCAGGACTGTGGGGATCGCACAGACAAATCCTCTAAAAACTAGAAGGAGCTACCTTTTGGGAAAACCCAACCTGAGTAGGTGGTTGGGGAGACATCAGGATTCTTACCTGTTCCTGCTGTAGGGCTTTAACAAAAGCATTTTTCAGCCGGTTGGTGTGTTCGGCCTTTAGAGCCTTCTTCTGGTTGGAGGTCATGCACTGCTCACACAGAATCTTACCATTCTTCTCTTGCTTCCAGTGAGGGGTGAAATCTGTGCGGCACTGGGCGCAAACAAAGGGTTCGACCCGCAGGAGTGAGGCACAGCTTTTGCCTAGATGCCAACAGAGAGAGCAATCAGGGCCTTTCCATCTCCCTGTCTCCTGATTCTCTTCACCAAATGAATTTTTCAGGAGGTTATTCTGCTGAATTCAGAAAGAGACTCTACAAGAAGAGTACTCTGCAGTTTATAAAATAACTTTTATTTCATTCGACGGTAACAACATCACTTTAGGGAATTCAGACGGTACCGTCCCCACTTACAGAGGAGGACACGAAGAAACAGAGCTCCTGAGGGCAAAGCTGAGACAAGAACCCGGGTTTGCGGACTTTTAGTACAGCAAGAAGGAAGCGTGCTCACAGGGCGGCAGACTCCACCTGGGTCCGCGACACAGGCTCCTTAGCACGTTTTGACCTCAGACCGCACTGCCACATTTACACCGTTTAGTTACCAGTGTCCGAATTAGACCCGTTTAGAGTCAATGCTGAGCCCTTCAGGCACTTTCCTCCACCGTCAGGTGTTCCCCTAAGTCCACAGGTCTGGAAACTCAGGCTTAATAACTTGTTAGTGTCAATGCTTCACAGTCTGGGTCAGCTCTGGTTCACAGCTTCCACGTGGTCATGGTCACCTACTCAGTCAGTACACCTACTTTCCCACCTGTAAGTCCTCAAGTGGCAGGGACTGAATGTAACAACGCAGCGCAATGCCACACAAGCGCTGACGTTACACGCTAAGTGTTCTAGTCACCAAATTGTGTATACATCGTGCTGGGCACCACTGAAAAGGACCAAACGATATCCTGCCAAAAATATACACGATCTACAAAATACAATACAAACGTTAAGCCTAAGATATACAGACATACAAAAGGCATTTCCGAGTAACGAACGGGAGGTGGTCTGACAACAGTAAGAACAGGTTACTTGACGTCACACAGCGCCCTGGGATACGCGGCCCAGGTCAATCAGGCTCGGCAACCTCCTGTGTAGATAAAAGACTGACCACAAAAAACAGCCTCACCTTGGCTGTCGATGACACTCTGTACGACTTCTTCCAAGCCCACCATGTAGATGAACTCGCTATTGGCCGCGCTAGGCAGGAAGTGAAGCAGGGGAGCAGGAGGTTTAGGCGGCGGAATCTCCAGGAGGGTCTTTTCCAGCTGTTTGCGAAGAGCCAGTTTGGCGGCAGCCTGGGAGTTGGCGGCATCGGTCATGGCGCTGGGGCTCGGCAGGGGTGAGGACACCCTGTTCACAGTCCCCGGCTGCATGTGGGAGGCGAGGTTCATATAGATGGCAGAGGATGTTGTGCGCTGGCAGGGAACAGAAGAACTCGACTGCTGGAATGGAGGGGGCACAGGGTCAGTGGCGGGGTGCGGGGGAAGGACGAATTCTTGCTTCAGTGGCAGAAAACACTACCTGAGCCGAGTTGGGACAACTTAGCTTTCCCGAAACTCAGAAAAAAGGACGAGGTGTCCAACCTCAATGAAGAAGAGCTCCAGCACACGGGAAAGGAGAACGACAGAAGCTAGGAGGCGGAGGAACACAAGCACGGGGGATGCTCTCTGGCCCACATCCTCAGGCCTCTTCTTCCCCTGACCCCGGCTGCTTTCCTCCAGGCGGGTGTGAGCCTGCTGCCGCTCTGCCGTCCAGCCTCCCTTCTCCGCTCCTACTCCCAGGGAGGCCCTCCAGCTTCCACCCTGGGCACTACGATCGATACAAGCTCTACCGCAATTACCCTGGCTGTCCTAGGGCTTCTCTATGTCCCAAACCGTACGGTCTGTGGTCCTTTCAACAGGGAAAGCAAAGAAAAGACTTCTCTGTTTCCATATTAGGACTTTCTCACCGGTTGGTAATTGATGGCAGGATTCATGTTGGGTGTTGTGGTGCGTACAAGGCCGGGCTTAGGTGGGCCCCGCTGACCCTGTAGCTGGGCTGGGTTTGGTGCAATAACACGTTGGGACATCAACATATGTGGGAGGGTGGTACTGGTCGCGGAGCGGATGACACTGTGACCCTGAGGGGGAAGAAGAAGAAAAGAAGCAGTCATAGGTGGTAAAATGCTCCACCGACATGCTAGAGAGAGAACACTGCCTGTAACACACAGCTGAGTGGAAAAACAGAAACACAGCGAGACTCGGGAATTCTGTCTACTCCTAGACGAGAAAGGGCTAAGCTAGAAACCTCCAGAGAAGCAAAACCACAGTGGGAAGAGGAGGATTACTTGTCCCACTGTGCCACCCAGTAACACACAGCCAGTCAGCGAGGAGGGACCAACGGGACTGTGTACAGCACCAGCACCTCTACCACGGCCAGGTTCTTCTACGATCGTCACAGAAGTCCCAAACCAGAGCTGGGATACACGGGGCCCCAAGGCAGGTTACGCACCTGTAATGTTCTCAGACTCTGTGGCTCCACCCCTTGGGCCCCAGGCCGAGAGGGAAGCTTGGACAGGCCCTGCTGTCCCCCATGCGCAGGAGATGGCTGCACGATGGACGCCGCGTTCTGCACAACCGGGGTCTGGGGGAGAGAAGACAGAATGAAGAAACAGAGGCAGAAGTCTGGTACACTCCTGGACCTTTTAAAAATCCCCAGTGTGAAGCTTCTGTTGACCAGAAGGAAAACCGAGAAAAACGGAATCAGGGTTTTCTTGATTAGGGCCTACAATTAAAAAAAAAAAAAAAAAAAAAAAAAAGAAAGAAAGGAAAAATAAATCACTCTTCTTAGAAACTAAAAAGCACGGAACTGGACAAGAATGGGCCACCCAGCTGAACCCACCTGGGTGAGGCCACTGTCAGACCCAGCCCCCTACTTCCGGGGCGCATCCGGTACCTTCTGGACTACGTTCTCCTTCTGGAGCTGGCTCTGCCTCAGCTTCTTCAGCAGCACCAGCCGGGCTTCTTCCAATCGCAGCTCGTCCCTCAGCTGCTTGATGAGCTGCTGCCGCTCCTCAATGCCTTTCCCCTAAGGAAACACGAGGCCCCTCAGCTACGGGAGCAGGCACCCAGAGTCCCCCTTCCCGCGAGACGGTCTCTTCTTCCAGGGCTGAGCTCTGGATCTTGCACACGAAGCAGAAGCAGTGATGGGGATTACTGTCTCTGTGTCCCTGGATCTAGCTCAGGGCTAGGATTCAGCAGGTGCTCAGAAGATGCTTACAGAACATAAATGCTAATCAACCAGATTCCTGGCAAAATAGGAGACGGGGCAAAGGGAGATGCAAAGGGAACTGTTCTTGAAAACACGGTTTCCAGGGGTGCCTGGGGGGCTCAGGCGGGTAAGCATTGACTTCAGCTCTGGTCATGACCTCATGGTCTGTGAGTTCAAGCCCCCCGTTGGGCTCTGTGCTGACAGCTCGGAGCCTGGAGCCCGCTTCGGATTCTGTGTCTCCCTCTCTCTTTGCCCCTCCCCTGCTCACGCTCTGTCTCTCTCAAAAATAAATAAAACATAAAAAATTTTTAAACACTGTTTCTAGAACTTATTAAGCCAAGTTTCTTCTAGATATACATAAAAACTTAGGAGTTTCTCCACATCATGAGAACCAGGGTACAGTGGTTCCAGCCAAGAGTTTATTTCTGTGACTTACTGAGTTTTCACTTTCCAAAGATAAATTATACTGAATATGCTTTGTCACACTATCTTCTTCACTTGATTCTCATAATGCCCTCTAAAAGGGCATGCCCTCAGGGCACCTGGCTGGTGGCTCAGTCAGTGGAACCCAAGACTTTTAATCTTAGGGTTGTGGGTTTGAGCCCCATGTTGGGTGTAGAGATTACTTAAAAATAAAATATGTATATATTTATACATATATATTTTTTATATACTATATATATAGTATATATATATATATACACTATATATATATACTACATATATACTATATATATGTATAGTATATATATATATAAAAGTAAAATATATATAAAAGTAAAATATATATATTTTAATGTTTATGTATTCATTTTTGAGAGAGAGAGAGAGAGAGAGAGAGAGAGAGAGAGCATTCGTGGGGGAGGGGCAGAGAGAGAGACAGAGAATCCCAAGCAGGCTCTGCACCACCAGTGCAGAGCCTGACACAGGCTCAAACCCATGAACTGTGAGATCATGACCTGAGTTGAAGTCGGATGCTTAACCGATTGAGCTACTCAGGCACCCCAAAAATATAATCTTGAAAAAAAAAAAAAGTAGCACCTAAGTGGCTCAGTGAGTTGAGCACCTGACGCTTGATTTAGGCTCCAATCGTGACCCCAGGGTTCTGAGATGAAACCCCACATCAGGCTCTGCACTGGTTGTGCAGCCTGCTTAAGACTCTCTCTCCCTCTGTCCCTCCCCTGTGCACGTGCTCTCTTTCAAAAAAACAAACAAAAAACAGTAAAAAGTAAATAAATAAAATGCCCTTGAAGCTGAGAATTATTTATAAAAAGTTTCATCAACAGGTTGTTTATTTATTTAAGAAAAAATTTATTTTTGAGAGAAAGAGAGACAAAATGTGACCAGGGGAGGGGCAGAAAGAGAGGGAGACACAGAATCTGAAGCAGGCTCCAGGCTCCAAGTTGTAAGCACAGAGCCTGACATGGGGCTCGAACTCACAGACTGCGAGATCATGACCTGAGCTGAAGTCGGACGCTTAACTGACTGAGCCACCCAGGTGCCCCTGTGGGTAGTTATTTAGATTCAAAAGGTAAACTATAGGGGCACCTGGGTGGCTCAGTCGATCAAGTATCTGACTCTTGATTTCGGCTTAAGTCATGATCTCATGGTTCATGGGTTCGAGCCCCGTGTCGGGCTGTACCCTGGCAGCATGGAGTTTGCTTGGGATTTTTTCTCTCTCCTTCTCTCTCTGCAACTCCCCTGCTTGCTCACACTCTCTCGCTCTCAAAAATACATAAACTTAAATTATTAAGATGGTAAATTTAAAAAAAGTAAATTATAAAAAAAACAGAACTGGGTCTCTTAGGGAACTAAACAGGAGCAAAAATGAAGAAAGAAATCATTTTATCTTTCTTCTCTCTTTTTTTACCTTGAACATCTCTAGGTTGGCTGCTTTGAGTCTTTCTTCCATTCGGGAGCTGGAGCGGGGACTGGAAGCCTCATTATCAGATAAAACAATGATGTCTGGGGAGGGAGTCAGCCTCCCACGGTCTGGCTCACTAGATAAGAAAAGAAAAAATTAAGGTATTTCAACAATTAAGAAAACTTCTTCTGCACGCTGAACAAAGAAATCCAAGGGAACTTAGGTCTGTCTCCGTTCACTCAGGAGATTCAAATCTTAGGACACAGACGACACCAAGATGTGAGTGGTGACAAATCCTCAGCAAGTGTGCTCTCCATCTGAATTCCTTGTGCAGGGACCAGACACACGGTGACTGGCTTCAGAAATGGGAGTGAGAGGTGAGTGTTATCACGTCCATTGGAATCAAGACTCTAAACGCTTCCCCTGTATCTCACTTCCCTTTGGGGTGTCTCATTAGTCACGCAGAGGCTCAAGCAGGGAACGGCCAGCCTGGCGGAGGAAGAAGGGCAAGGGCAGAGCTTAGGTACGGAACCCCTACTGCTGCGGAGGCAGCTCGGTCCGCCCTGCGCCGCGCGGCCCTGGCTGCCTGAGGGTTGACAGAGAGGAGCTTACAGGACGACCCCAGCGGCAGCCCAAGTTAAGACACAAGAAGGCGCTGTGCCAGCGGCCTGAGGGGAAGGACCAGGCCAAGTCTACAGCTCCTGGCAGACCGGAACTCCTAAACCGCATCCCTGGAACCTGCATCCACTTACCAGATTCGTACTCAGCATCTTCCCTCAAAAATAAACTCTCCAGAAACGACTTTGAAATCTTAAATCCTCCTCACCGGCTCCCCTGTATTTCAGTTCTCACTTATTAGACAATTGTGGTTTTGGTCTTTTGGAGCTAGTTACAAGCATCATACTTATTTCTCTGAGATGATAAAAATGGCACTCCCTAAGAGCTGGATGGCCAGAATTCTGGAAATTCTGAAGGCCTCAGGCTCCCAAACCAATGACCACATCTTTTAACTCTCTGATTTCTTAAAAACAAAAAACAAAACAAAAATTAATGTTTATTTATTTTTCAGAGAGACAGAGACACAGTGCAAGCTGGGGAGGGGCAGAGAGAGAAACACAGAATGTGAAGCAGGCTCCAGGCTCTGGGCTGTCAGCACACAGCCTGACATGGGTCTTGAACTCACGAACCGTGAGATCATGACCTGTGCTGGATTAACCGACTGAGTCACCCAGGTACCCCCTAACTCTGATTTCTTAACTCAAAGATATCTTCCCAGACCCTACTTCCTTGAGTTCTTCAGTACAGTTAGGAATACACAGACTTAAAAGCAATGTGTTTTAGTTCTTACTTAAACATGAAACCCAAATCCTTAACACCCACAGACCTTTAGTCCTGAGAGCCTTTCTACCATTTCTCTGGGTCTCTTGTCTCAGCTGCTGTTGGGACATGGATGCCCAGGGGCTTTGAACAAAACACCCTGGATAGTTGGGGTAGGCATTCAATTTCTCAACTGGGCTGAATTACTAAAATCAACCAAATTTGGGGCATCTGGAAGGCTCAGTTGGTTGAGCATCTGACTTGATCTCAGATCGGGTCATGATCCCAGGGTCATGGGACCAAGCTCCTTGTTGGGTTCTGCTCCAAACTAAGCACGGAGCCTGCTTGGGATTCTCTCTCTCCCCCTCTGCCCTTCTCCCCCGCTCACACGCTCTCTAAAAAAAAAAAAAAAAAAAAAAAAAAAGTAAAATAAACCAAATTTAGCTGAGAACATAAAACAGAGGCACAGAATGACACACACGACTGTCTTGGAAGCCATTAGGTTTGTCTAGATTGCTCTACAAGCACTGGTCCCAGGCAGCTGAGCGTGTGGGGGTCACAGAAAAAGAAGCCACTAGAGGGAGAAGAGCCTTTCTTTCCCTAACCCCACAATGCTGGAGTAATGGTCAAGCTGACCTGAATTCATTTTCTGGTGATTTTCTCATTTCTACATTCCTTCATTCTTGCCCCCGCCCCCCCCCCCCTCCCTGACACCAACATGGGTGAATGATTTTGAGAGCTGGTAGATTTCTACTTTCACTTGGTTCTCCAATGTTTATTCACACCAACAGTCCCAATCTCCTTCCATTCTGTTCAGGGCTGGATACACGCATCAAGACTATCTCGAAGCTAAGGGACTCCTCCTTGCTCAAATGAGTGCCTCCTGCTGCTTCGGGGTGGCTCAGCAACAAGACAGGCAGAGCCATTCCTGGATGGAGGCTGTGGAAATGAGCGGCATTTGCTGGGAAGTTGTCTCTGAGAACAACCCTGAGATTGTACTCCTGGATGTGATCAGACCCACATCAGGTGCAGCACAGGCCAGGTGAGGCCCAGGTTTTGTCCCATTCTTCAAGTTTTTTGTTTGTTTTTTTACTTGTGGCCTGGGATTCTGGTCTCATTTAGTAAACTTTCCAGCAACAGAAATGATTTTTCCACTTTCCCAAACATGTATGTGATTTACATCATTTGACGTTCTTAAGTATGAAACTCCAGCCATCGGAGAGAGATTACTAAAAGCCTGACTTGTTGCTGACGTCACTCACGACTCAGACTGGCAGGTTCCCAAAAGCTGTGTACCTCCTGATCCTCCTTCTGGTAGTAAAAACAACTAAATAGAAAGAAAACTGCTGTGTTTTTCTAGCATTCCAAAACATAAGCAAACGCTGGTTTCACATACACCTGATTTCATATAGTTTGTAACCTGTCCAACTGATGACGATTATGATATGGCTATCACTGATACCACGGGCTCTTCATTATTTCTGCTTTTAAATTCTCTCCTTTTGTCCATATCAAAGAAACTGTTGCTCTCCTTGTTGAACAATCTATCAATCCCATTCATTCTTAGAAAAAGGTTGGGGCTAAGTAGAAATAACTGTCAGTGTATCTGGGGAAAGGGAAGAAGAGTGACAGAGGCCAGTAGGGCCTAGTTTTCCATGTAGAATGGGGATCTAGATTGTTTACATCAACCCCCTTTTCCTGGAGACCATTATTATTATTTTTTAATTATTATTTTTTTAATGCTTATTTATTTTTGACAGAGAGAGAGAGAGAGAGACAGAGCATGAGTGGGGGAAGGGCAGAGAGAGAGAGAGAGAGAGAGAGAGAGAGAGAGAGAGAGAGACAGATCCGAAGCAGGCTCCGGGCTCCGAGCTGTCAGCACAGAGCCCGACGCGGGGCTCGAACCTACAGACCGCGAGATCATGACCTGAGCCGAAGTCGGACACTCAACCAACTGAGCCACCCAGGAGCCCCTCCTGGAGACCATTAAAAACAGCTCCCAGTTTCCAGAGGCTCAAGTTTCAAAGCTCATTCCTCTAAAATAAAATTAAATGCAATGGTAGGGTTTTCAAGGTAGTCTGACTTTTTAATACAGACTTTATTTGGTACAATACCAGTAATAGCACTAGTGAGATCTCACCAAAATGTGTGACAGTGCTTCTATGAAAAATGCACTTTCAGGGCCAATTTGGGATGTGAGGAATCCGTCCAACATTTCTCCTCTTCCTCCTCCCCATTCAAGTAGGATCAGTTACTTGCTCCAGAGCGGGGAGGGTACTTATGGGGCAAGTGGGTTGCTCAGGGGCATGATCTCATTCATCTGCTTTCTTTTTTCTCCCCCCAAAGGATCTAAGGATTTATCTACTTTCATAATATTCAGCTCACACTACATATAGCTTCCAAGCTATCTGAGGATTTTTCTCCTATTTTATGGCCAATAGGGAATTTATCTAAAGTTTCCTAAGGGTTTTAAATGCTATTACCAAGAATAATGTCCCCTCACTGGGTGTGGCTTAAAAAAATAATCCTGGGATAGTACTTATAAGTGTACATTAGAAGCTAGAGAAAGTGGGGGCGCCTGGGTGGTTCAGTCAGTTAAGCGTCAGACTCTTGATCTCAGCTCAGGTCTTAATGTTTATTTTTGAGAGAGACAGAAAGCACGAGTCAGGAGGGGCAGAGACAAAGAGGAAGAGAGAGAATCTCAAGCAGGCTCTGAGCTGTCAGCACAGAGCCTGATGTGGGGCTCGAACACATGAACTGTGAGATTATGACATAAGCCAAAGTCGGGACGCTTAACTGACTGAGCCACCCAGGCGCCCCTCAGCTCAGGTCTTGATCTCAGGGTCATGAGTTCAAGCCCCATGTTGGGCTCTGCATTGGGCATGAAGCCTGCTTACATAAAAAAAGGAAAAAACAAACAAACAAACAAAAAATCTGGAGAAAAGAAACGCAGGTAAGGCTGTAACTGTTCCCTCCTCCTTCAGTCCTAAGACAAATTCAGCAGGGTCAGCAGGAGGGCAAGTGGACACTAAAGATTACTTCCCATGCCCTATCAGCTGTATCCGAACAATTAACAAACTGAATGTTCTCAAAGCGAAGGTGGTCTCACTGTGACTCACTGGCTTGGAAGTCGTGAGTCTTCTCACGACGGACGACTGGCTCAGCCAGTACCTCTTCTTAGCACGTGCTCCACTGTTTCAAGTACTCAACCTTGACAGATGCCCGAGAGAAGCCCCGTGAAGATGTGTGCGTGTGAGAGCGGGCGCACAGGAGTTGAGCGTGTGAACCACGATGAATGCTTATGCGTGCGTGGAGCCCACGGAGGGCGGTACACACACAAAGCAAGAACGGAGAGAACTGCCACATGAAGACGACTGCCCTGTTCACACAAGAAAAGCCAGCCCCATGCTTCTGGATGTACTAGAAGCTGGGACTCCAGAACAAACATTCTAAACCTCTCAGGATGGTCTGAAGAAAAGACTGAGGCCCTCCTAAAATGGCTGTAAGATCAGAGTGGAGCGCGTGTTATCTCACTTCCCACTGGCATTATCAGCTTTATGGTGCCTCCCTCATCCAGAGATGACCACTTTATCTTAAGGGCACAAGCTATAGGATTCTCTGTATACTAAGCAAATACATGAGGCACCGAGTTTCATCTGGAAATGAGAGGAATTTACGGTCAAGCCAGATGGCACACATACATTCTCTCTCAAGGAGGTTTAGGATGAAAAACACCTCCTCTCATTGGAATTCTTTTCTTTTCCACTCCATTTCCATTGTTTATGAGAAGACCCTATTGCCGGAGGCAGCCGACCTGAGCCATACCTCCGCCTGGCACTCATATCCACAGGCTCATCGCTGATGTTTTCTTTGCCTGGCCTTCCAGCAGTCCTGGTGTCGCCGTGAGGCCTGAGATTCCCATTGAGTTTCTCTTCATAGCCCTTGACACCACTGCCATCCTGTTTGGTGGGCAACTCATGTGGCACATCGAGATTCGCCAGATCCTTCCGTTTGAGCAGCGCCAGCATCTTCAGGCGTTCCATGGCCTCGTGCCCCTCCATTTTGAGTCGCTTAGCCAGGACATCGTCTCGCTCATCTGCCGGGTCCAAGCTCCGCTTCAACAGGTTCAGGCGAAGAGCATCTTCTGTCATCCTATCCATCCTGTGGGAAGGAAAATACAAGTGAGATCGGAACACAATCCCTTAAACAGTCCGTAAAGAAAGAGGATGGGTGGTAAAGGTATTCGGAAGAATCACAAGAGCGCCTGACTGGCTGAGTCGGTAGAGCATGTGACTCTGGATCTAGGGCTGTGAGTTTGAGCCCCACGTAGTGTCGATCTTACCAAAAAAGAATCATTGTTACATGGAAGTTCAAAGATCACTGAGCTAGGGGCGCCTGGGTGGCTCAGTCGGTTGAGCGTCCGACCTCGGCTCGGGTTATGATCTCAACAGGTCACGAGTTTGAGCCCCGCGTCGGGCTGGGTGCTGACGGCTCAGGGCCTGGAGCCTGCTTCGGGTTCTGTCTCCCTCTCTGTCTGCTCCTTCCCTGCTCACACTCTACCTCTCTAAAAATTAAATAAAACCATTAAAAAAAATTAAAAACAACAACAAAAAAAATCACTGAGGTAAATATCAACACTCCATTTTCCCAGAACACCTGTATTAAAGGAGATTTCTCCACTCAACTTCAGCAGTGGAAAGTAAGCCTCAAGTGTTTTCTAGTTGTTGAGGTCCTGACTATATCACCGCTCTACTCACCTGGATGGTCCATTAAGAGCCTACATCTCTCAGAAAATAAACATTCTTTTGTGACTGCTTTGCGGTGCCTGTATGCTCAAACCATCCGCACTGGTTTTACCTCTCACACCAAATTCTTCTCCTGGAAAAGACCTCTTTCATGGACAGGGAAGTTCCTCGGGCCACTCAGGCATATCTTTCATTGACTTATCTTATTGGAGACAAAAGAGAAAGCTGAACGAAACAAAGAGCGTTTAACGGGCGGCCTCAACTGTCTGCAAGCAGCAAGAATCAGAAGGGCCTACAGTTACCGGCCTCAAGGCTATACAGATAGAGTCAGTATCTTAAGATACCTGGCTTTAATGAAAGATTCAGGTGTTTAGGCTGATAGGAGGGAATACTTTCTCTATTTATGCAGCTTAAAGGCAAGAAAATTATCATTTTCCCTTCTCACTTTGATTTTTTTCACTAACAAAATCTAAATACAGAACTTCTTCCACACTTTAAAATCCAGGGCTGAGGTCACGATCTCGCGGTCCGGGAGTTCGAGCCCCGTGTCGGGCTCTGGGCTGATGGCTCAGAGCCTGGAGCTTGTTTCCGATTCTGTGTCTCCCTCTCTCTCTGCCCCTCCCCCGTTCATGCTCTGTCTCTCTCTGTCCCAAAAATAAAATAAATAAACGTTGAAAAAAAAATTAAAAAAAAAAATAAAATCCAGGGCTGTTTTCCTGGTAGGAAATAGCAACGAGGCACTGGAAAGAAAATTTTTTGAGTCTAGAAACATAGGCTCAAACTGCTAATTACATTTATAAGATCAAATATTTAATAAGTTACTTTACCTCCCTAAATCTCAATCTTATCTGTAAAAGTGGGTACTTAGAAGGTGCTCAACAAAATTTAACTGTTTTTTTTTTTTTTTAAGTTTTATTTTTATTTGAGACAGAGACACACAGCAAGCAGGGGAGGGACAGAGAGAGAGGGAGACAGAATCCCAAGCAGGCTCTGAACTGCCAGCAGAGCCTGACGTGGGGCTTGAAGATACCCCATGAAGATGCTCAACAAAATTTAATTTCTATGCCCTGGGGATATGACCTCCTCTATACTTGAAGATACGACATGAGGCCCAATGATTCACAGACTTAAGTAGCAGGACAGAGAAGACTATAAATGTTAACTGGTGCTCTTGAAAAGAAAAATATGTATGTGCTTGAGGCATCTTCCTTTTTTTTTAGATTTTTTCTTTTAACATTTATTTATTATTGAGAGACAGAGCATGAGCATGGGAGGGGCAGAGAGAGGGGGAGACACAGAATCTGAAGCAGGCTCCAGGCTCTGAGCCGCCTGCACAAAGCTGGACGCGGGGCCCGAACCCACAAACCGTGAGATCACAACCTGAGCCGAAGTCCGATGCCTAACCGACTGAGCCACCCATGCGCCCTCTGAAGCGTCTTCCTTCTTGCAGTGAGGAGTAAAATAAGAGCTATTTGATCCTTTTCTGGGTATGACAAAAAAAAAAAAAAAAAAAAAAGAAGAGTAGCCAATAAAAGAGTATTCAACAAAAGGAAACAGACATTTTGGAGATCAGAAAAAAAAAATCAGAAGCTAGATCTCTGAGTTTTTCAGTAACGTTTCTTAATTCTCTCTTAAAAAAATCGTTTTTTAATGTTTATTTATTTTTGGGACAGTGACAGAGCGCAAGCAGGGTAAGGGCAGAGAGAGAGGGAGACACAGAATCCGAAGCAGGCTCCGGGCTCCGAGCTGTCAGCACGGAGCCCAACGTGGGGCTCAAACAGTGCGATCATGACCTGAATCAAAAGTAGGACACTTAACCGACTGAGCCACCCAGGCGCCCATAATTCTTTTTAAAAGCTCAGGCTTGGGGCGCCTGGGTGGCGCAGTTGGTTAAGCGTCCGACTTCAGCCAGGTCACGATCTCGCGGTCCGTGAGTTCGAGCCCCGCGTCAGGCTCTGGGCTGATGGCTCAGAGCCTGGAGCCTGTTTCCGATTCTGTGTCTCCCTCTCTCTCTGCCCCTCCCCCATTCATGCTCTGTCTTTCTCTGTCCCCAAAATAAATAAACGTTGAAAAAAAAAATTAAAAAAAAAAAAAAAAGCTCAGGCTTATTGAGACATAATTCACACATCACATAATCCACCTTTTTAAAGTGCATACTTCAGTGGTTTTGATTCAGAGTTGTGTAACCACTGCCACAATCAATATTAGAACATTTTTATCATCTCCCCCCTAGAAAACCCATATCCATTAACAGTCTCTCTGCCCCCAACTAATTTACTTTTTGTTCCTAATTTGCCTGTTTTGGACTTTTCGTATAAATGAAGTCATACAATATATGATCTTTTGTGACTGGCTTCCTTCATTGAGCATCATGTTTTTAAGGTTCATTCGTGTTTGAAGCCTGTGTTTGTACTTGGTATCTTTTCACGGCCAAATGATAATCTACTTGTTTATCCACTTATCAGTTGGTGGACATTTGATTTTCCCCCCTTTTTGCTATTATGAACAAAGCTGCTGTGAACTTTTGTGTACAAGTTTTCGTGTGAACGTGTTTTCAGTTCTCTTGGGTGTACACTTAGGAATGAACTGTTGGGCCCTGTGGCAGCTCTTTGTTCAACATTAAGAAGCGTTAGGCTGCTTTCCAAAGCAGCAGCACCATTCTGTGTCACTGCCAGCAGCGTGGGGGGGAGGGTTCCAACTTCTCCATATCCTCTTTGTTCTAACAGCTTCAGACAGACATGTTATAGAACATACAGACATTCTGTAGCTACAGGTCCCCCTAAAGATCTGTGTTATTTCTTTTTTTGTTTAATGTTTATTATTTAGAGAAAGAGAGAGATGTTTATTTAGTGAGTGCATGTGTGTGCTCACAAGCAGGGGAGGGGCAGAGAGAGAGGGAGAGAAAGAATCCCAAGCAGGCTCCACGCTGCCGCTGCAGAGCCCGACTTGGGGCTTGATCCCAGGAACCGTGAGATCATGACCTGAACTGAAATCAAGAGTCTGGTGCTCAACCGAATGAGCCACCCAGGCGCCCCATGGTATGTGTTATTTCTAAAGTGGTATACCTCTGAAAAATACCCCCAGGTGGAAACTGGAAAGCTCAGTACTACAGAACAGCAAGACTTAGGCTCTAACTCCACAGTAACAGTGTTCCAGGTAACTTGATGGACACCTCATATTGAGAGCACCACTAAGAATCTCATGGGGAGTTGTAGGTGGGAAAAGTCTGTTACTCAACTGATCATACACCTAGATGCAAAAAATACTCCAGAAAAGCACACAGCAAGATATACAAATGCAAATTAATATGGTACTGTGTTCTAAGTTTTGAGACAAATTGTATTTGTGAGCACTGAAATCAGAAGACAAAGCAACAAAACTCGATAACCTAGAGTTGAATGGAGTTTGGGAAGGCATCATTATCCTGGCTTCTCGAACGGTTATACAAACAGTTGAATACTGCTCAGGTAATTCCCTTTTATCATACTCTAATGAAATAAATGGATATACTGAAAGTTGGAAGAAACCAGAACCAGATATTTGATTGTCCAAGGTAATTAATCTTTCCCAAGAGATCGTTTGAGAACTCTGACCAAATTTTCCTTGCCCATTCTTGACTTTACTGATCTTATTGTAAGCTCCAACTTTATGTGTTCATAGCTGGGCCTGTCTCAAAATCCAATGAAACATGAATGAATCTTGAAAACATCATGCAAAGTGAAGTAAGCCAAATACAGACGGACAGATATTTTATGGTTCCATTTATATAAGGTACCTAGAATAGGCAAATTCAGAGAGACAGAAAGTAGATTAGAGACTACCCATGGCTGGGGGTGGCAAAAGGGCAATGAGGAGCTAAGATATAACAGGAACAGAGTCTCTGGGGTGAAGAAAAAGTTCATAAAATGGACAGTGGTGATGGTTTCACAACAATGTGAATGTACTTTAAGCCACTGAATTATATAGTTAAAAATGGTTAAAATGTTAAATTTTGGGAAAAAATTAAAAAGGAAAAGGAAAACAAAAAGGGAAAGAAGGGGGAAATGGTAAATTTTGTGTTATGTATATTTTGCCACAATGAAAAAAAATCCAATGTAACAGACAAATTAAAAATGGCACAAGAGATCCTTTTGGGTTATGGAAATGTTCTAAACCTGGATTGTGATAATAGCTTTACAACTCTGTATACTTACTAAAAAAAAAAAAAAAAAAATCACTAAACCATAAACTTAAATTATACTCCATAAAGCTGTGAAAATAATATTCAATATAAACTTGTCACACAAAAATTCCTCTCCAAAAAGCCAAACAAAAATTCTATAAAATAGGGGCGCCTGGCTGGCTCAGTCAGTGGAGAGTGCAATGCTTAATCTCAGGGTTGTGAGCTCAAGTCCCACATTTAGCATGGAGCCCACTTAAAATAAAGTAAAAAGTTAATTTCCTGTAAAATAAATGTTGTATTTTGCCGTTTAATGGGTACCCAGTTTTTTTGTTTGTTTGTTTCTTCTGGGCTGCTAATGATAACGCTAATCTTCTTAAGTAC